TTTTTTTCAACGTTTATTTATTTTTGCGACAGAGAGAGACAGAGCATGAACGGGGGAGGGGCAGAGAGAGAGGGAGACACAGAATCGGAAACAGGCTCCAGGCTCTGAGCCATCAGCCCAGAGCCCGACGCGGGGCTCGAACTCCTGGACCGCGAGATCGTGACCTGGCTGAAGTCGGACGCTTAACCGACTGCGCCACCCAGGCGCCCCTCGAATATACACTTCTTAAACACATTCACACTCGCATGTACTTTCGGTGACAAACTCATAATCAGCCACAGTCACATTCCTAATGTGACTATGACACACAGCCCTAATAATCCCCAATAAGTCTTAAAAAGGGGTTCACATGTAGAACAGTGGTAGCTCCAGAACTCTAGATACCTGCAAAGGGGACATATCTTGCTCATTTTACATCCTTCCATCCCTGTGATGTTATTTACTAACTGTAACATTTCAAAGATGCTGTGATAAGGCCACTTCAGGTTGAGGCACACAGTGGTAAAGTCGGGGTGTTGGGGATGTGCTGCTCTGCATGTGTGACAGAGAACGAGAATGTGGGATAGAGTGACCTACAACAAGGGCACAGGATGGGGGTATAGATATGGTTTAGAGAGCATGGGGATATGGGGAGACAGAAATTGAGGAGCAGAGGAAAGGGGTTTAAAAGATACAGGAGTGGTTGATTCATAGAGCAGTTAAAGGGTAGGTTTCGCTAAGTGAGGGGCAAATTGTGCAGAGAAGTTAAGGGTAGGAAGATACTGTGTGTGCTGGGTGAATAAGTGGTTTGGGGTCCTGGGAAAGAAGGGCTTAGTGGGAATGGGCAGGTAATGGGAGAAGGTGGTTAAGGAGAGTGTGTAAAAGGGACTTTACATCTTTGAGAGGTTAAAGACTGTGATGGGTGAGGGGGTATTACAAGTGGGGCATGCAGGTCCTGGGGGTGGTTAATGAGCCTAAACAGTGGCGAAGCGTAGAAGGGGAGGTAGAGCTGTGGGCCACGGTAATGAAGAGTGAGGCAAAATGGCGGAAGAGTGATGAATGGAGATTGGGAGGATACTTCCACCGTGTGCTAAACAGCCCAGGGAAAGGGGCGGGGATTTCATGGTTGAGATGGTGTGTGAGGCTGTTGGGTGAGAGAAGAAAGCTGGGTGATTGGGGCCCAGGGCTGCTAGGTTCCAGGAGCACCGAGTTCAGTGGAAACAGACTGGGATCTCTAGAATAGAGGACTGATTTATGTCTAGGGAAAGGCAGCACTGGAGGGCTAACAGAAGGGTGATGGCTGGTGAAGAAAACTCGTCTGTGATATCTGGAATGCAGTAGGGCAGGAGGGGTGGAGATTTGAGTTCAGAGCACAATAGAGGAGTTTTGAAGGATCATATGGTGGTGAGGTCCTATGGAGTTTTAGGGGACATTCAAGGTCAAGTGAGTGGGAGTGGGGAAAGCCAAAGGGTGGGGACAGATGGAGCCTGGAGTGATGGAGGTCACAGGGGAAGACTAGATATCGCTAATTCACTC